CCACTGCTGGACATAGGCCTCTCCAAATGCAGGCCACTCAGATCGATCTTGGGCTACTCGCATCCAGCTCCTGCCAGCCACCTATGAGCAACTTGATAACTTGCTGTATATTTTTTTACAGGATGTAATGCATATACAAAAACACTTATGATAACAGCTTATAAAAATTTCGTGTGCAAAATGTCAAGTTTAAGTTTAAATGGATTTGCTTCTTATATTTTTTATTATAGTAAAATATCATATCAATTTATATCTCAAATACATCATAAATATACTATATTCATACAGTGAGTTTCAATTCGTGTAATTCGAAAAGTTTCTTTCGATAGACATGCCATTATCATACAAAGAATCATTAAAATAAATATGTGTCTACTTTTGTAAGTTTAAAATTATTGCATTTGAACTGGAATCGAAATATGATTACTGTACATGGGGATTGATCTTGAGAAGGAGCCGGTTCCATAACCCAGAACAAAATTGTGTTTCACCAACAATATTGCCATCATAAACGCCTGAAATCCTCCATAGATGACGTATTCTGTAACAAATCACTACGTTACGCCAGAAGTAATCATCTGGAAACTATTTTCTATTCAGGAGCGCGAAATTTTGTACAAAAAAGACCGGTCCATGAGGCGTCTTCACTTTCTGAACCAGTTTATGTAGATACTGAAATCTAGCTTGGGGTTTTGAACAGTTCCAGGCTGCCTGGAGGCGTGAAGGGTCGCATTATAGTGGTGCATCGGGACAACAGCGGTGTGTTCGTTCAACCATTATTTCCATGTGATTTGACGTGTCATTGCCACATGCCGGTATAGATAAGTCAAGAAATAAATTTAGGTAAGGTTACTCACGTTAAATGTTACTAAGGCAGATATGATGATATTAGGAAAATTAATGATGTTATATTGCGAGTACAAAACATACTTAAAATATTATAGCTAAGTTTAAGGTAACTTGCTGTATATTTTTTTACAGGATGTAATGGATGTAGATACAGAAACACTTAAGATAACAGTTTATAAAAATTTCGTGTGCAAAATGTCAAGTTTAAGTTTAAATGGATTTGCATCTTATATTTTTTTATTATTTTAAAATATCATATCAATTTATATCTAAAATAATTCACACCCGTCATAATATTCCTGACCATTAGTTGCACGTTGCATCTTTTACGTATTAATACTAAAAAAGATTCTTGTTACGTTAAACTATTAACACAAATAATTATTGGAATCGAAATGATTACCTGTATCATTAAGTAATCAGACTATAAATAATTATATTCTATGATTTCTAAATAAATACTAAGTAGGTAGGTTTATATTTATTAAATTAATGATACCAAATGATATAAGCAATAGATATTCTATAAACAATTATTTGAACGCGATTACACCTCAATAATTCTGAGACATAATTTAAAATATAACAATAAATATCACAGTGTAATTAAATTAAAAAAGGAACCAGTTACGTATTCCATCACGGGGTAAACAATACTTTATTACGTTTCTGTTACGATCGTCGACAATCGTAAATTTTCTTTATGATTTGACAGTCCGTATTTTCTTTGTAATTTAATTAGGCATATAAATCACTCACAGCAGGAAGAGAACGGCGCTGAAGTAAGGTGTGGCTTTGTTTTGTTTATAAAGTTTAAGAAAAACAGCAAAAAATATCCTTCTTATTTTCAAACGAAAAAAAAAACTTTGAATAGTATAATACCAAAACGAGCTGTATTTTGGAAAGCTTTTGCGAGCATGAACTTTAAGGCCCAAGTACATTATTCACGGCCAAGTACATTATTCACCAGAAGGCCAAGTACATTATTCACCAGAAGAAATTTCTGCAATATCTCTATGTAGGTGGAATATGACTTTTGAGCCTGAAACCAGAACCTGAGACAGTCTAGAACTTAAGTCGATCTCAAGGATATTTCGAGCAAACAGTTTTTTAAGCGGTACATGGGTAGTTTGTTTCTACTTAGATTTATAATTAAAAAATAATTTATTTATAATTTTTGATACAGTTATCTTAGCATCATTAATTATATAATATTCAACGGAAGATTTGTCGAGTAGAATTCTGGCTCGCGGCGCCTATTTTGTTTTTTATTTTCTCATAATCTTTCGGCGCGTTACGATCAACTGTAAGTTTTACTTTTCTATTCGAATATATTTTTTAGCAAGGGAATGCCTACTATTCATTTTGAATTCTGCAATAATTTATTCAAAACCCCGCTTCCGCTGCATAAACTGGTCCTTCCGAGCCGTATATAAAATACCTACGTTTAAATGTCTGAGAACAAATATACCGAAGCGAAGCGAGGGCGAATGACTAGTTAAATATAAACTGAAAAGATGAGTAACATATAGGTATGTATGTTAGTATATATAAGATTGACTAATTATATATATTTTTTACTAATATATTTCAATTTATTATTTCAAATTATATCATAAACTTTATTACTGGACTATGGACCAAATCCCACCAATCACCCATGGCCTGGTGAACCTTCTTGGTTATGCAGGCCGAAGCAGCGGGAGATACGCGCGGAATGGTCTCCACCGCGCGTACTTTCAGGACTCCCTACAAATTGTTCTTTATCTGTCTGTTTTCTCCCTATGGTCCGTCTCCCCTTTCTGGGACGGACGTACACGAAACGCCTTCGTCGCCATCCCAGCCGTCCCGTGCCCACTATGAAGTAGCACCGCTAGTCTCCATTACTTATTCCTCTACTATTGCTCCCTGTCTTCTTTCTTCGCTTCGCCTAGGTGCGTGGACCAATAGCACTGGTGCAAGAAATTATCGAAAAAAATTAATAGGGGTGATGACGGGGTACAGTAAACGAAATTCTGTTTAGTCCGTCAGTTAGTTGATCAAAAAATAATGGACACGTATTTATTCTTTGGGCAATCAACCAAAAAATGACAAAGTTATAGCGCGTCAAAGTTTGGGAGTAGGGGCTCGTGACGTCACTTTTAAGTGAAAATTGTACCAAAACGTGACGAAAAAAGAAAAAATACGTGTCCAATACTTTTTGATAATCTACCTGATAAACAAAGAAAAATAATATCATCATCCCTATTATCTACACTGAAATGGTCTCCTTATTGTTATGCATGTTAAAAAACTAACCCGATAAATTTTAGTAAGAACAAGTGGGTAGCTATTTAGTATACGTACATATTTTCTTATACCACCCTTGTATCCAATGACAAACTTTAGCAACTATATTAGTTTATGCATGTCCATATTAGTATTATAACATTTGTGGAAATTTTCACAAGATTTCAAATCTTACCAGCACAACACTCATAACTTCTTTACACAAAAGGGTAAAGCATTTTTTTTTCTTTTTTTTTACTATCTTTAATCTATACATTGGTCTATATTGACATTCTGCCTAAATATGAATAAACGCTTAAACATGATATAAACCTATATAAAATGTCCATTGATATGTAATAAAGTTAATGTCAATGGCAGACTATATTCAACTATGTAGCCTTAATCGAAACCTGCCTGCCTAAATTGAAATCACACTAATATTATAAAGCCGAAAGTTTGTGTGTATGTTTGTTACTTCTTCACGTCTGAACGGCTGGAGCGATTTTAATAAACTTTGGTATGGAGTTAGCTGGATACACCCTGGATTAACACATATAGGCTACGTTCCCTTCCCTAAAATGTCCCTAATAAGCCGCGGAGCACAGCTAGTAATTAATAATAATAGTAAAGTAATTAAAAATAGTAATACTGTCACAGAAAAACAAACTAATCTGCTTATACTTTTTCTAATGATTACCATTGTTAGGGTGATCTTTAGAATTTACGTCTAAAGTTTACCGTGTAACCACAACTTACGATAAATTATTTATTTTATTACTATGCGAAGATAGATTTCAGCGCTCGCCGATGCATATTATATATAAGATATTTTTTGATAAAATAAACCAATCAAATGGATCATCATTTTGAATATTTTTTTTACCTCTTTCTTACCGTGTCGTGTGTCGCACATCGATAATAAATTCCAGTGGGAACACAAACAAATCTGTCATAAGATTGCTGAATCACGTTAATAAATTTCAGGAACTGTTTGACACCCCTCTTTGACGCGATCAACTGAGCAATAGAAATATCTAGGGGCCAAAATTTGCGATAAGGCCGCGTTCCCTTGTCCCTCCAAAGGGTCGATTATTGAATGCATCAGCGAAAATGTAATATAATAATCGAAGCATATGCAAAAGACGGTGTTATTTGAGAACTCTCAGAAGAAAATGTCGCTCTGTTCATAATTTTGATGCGTTCGATCCCCGTGCTATCTATTATAATATTGTATGTCTTGGAAGACCTGAGACTTTCTCTTAGATTACCCAATACGGATTTCAGGATAATAACATGTTTTCTGCCTTTCGGTGGAAGAAAAAAACACACGTTAATTTTGTAATGAAATTCAAAAAGATATTTTTATAAAATTATTTATTATTTTGTATTGCAAAAATCCGCATAACTTTATTTTAATATAATTTTTTTAATAACCAAAATATTGGTTTTAAATAACTATAAACTATTAATAAGACTAACATAAATAAAATCTATTCTATCGCCATATCATTCGTCTCCTACATCCTTACTGGTTGACTGGTAGAGAATGCCTGTGGCATTAAGTCCGCCGTTTACTATTTAGGTAATAAAGTATAAATAAATAAATGTGGAAAATTTAACATTGCATTAATGTTACTTTACTTACATGATAAATTAAATTCATTTTTATCACATATAAATAATACTCAAGCATTTTTCCATAAGTTAAAAACTTTCAACAAAACAAACACTAAAATTTATTTACTGTAAAATTCATCTATATCTAAAAGTATTACAGTTCGCACGTTGTTATGATTCAGTCAAATTGAATTGACTAGCACTTAACTATGTTTAATAGATTAGAAATACGTTTTTATCAAATAAATGTATGATTACTAAAGCCAAAATATACTATCAAATAATTAACTAAAAAGAATTATCACGAAGTTTTTATTAACAGTTCTACCAAATCTACTGGTTTAGTGGAGTAAACAAATTTGTTTTCCGCTTTTGGATAAATATCGATACACATCTTCATTAACCTTTGTTTGAAATTAAGGAATACTACTTTCCTTGAAGTTTTATCAAAATCTTTAATTAAATGCATGATATTTGATGCAACAGTAGAATCCATTCTTTGGAGATTGCTACCGTCTATTACTAAAACAGAATCAGGAACAGCATATTCTGTTGCTTTGAGAATAGCTTTTCGCACATGCTCCGCAGCACAATAAGACAAACTGTTCCCTAATATTAGATTTATAACGTCACTTCTATCACATTTCACTGTATTCACTACAACTTTTGGTTTTGACGCGCCATATAGCAATATTACACATTCAAATGCAACCCCAGCAACAACACCGTATTCCAGACCAAGAAATAAAGAAACAGACATCGTCACAAGCATAACCATTAATTCTAATTTACTATTTCTCCAAAACCTGCCAAAGATTTCATAATCTACCATATTATACATAGCTGTGATTATCAAACCAGCCAATGATGCGTTAGGTATATAATAGAACGTTGACGTTAAAAATGAGAGAGCTGCTACAATAATCAAACTTTTCCATATACTGCCAGCCGGTGTCTGCACCCCCGATGCATTGTTCAAAGCAGTTCTCGTGAAAGATCCGGTGACGGGCATACTTTTGAAAAATGAGCCCACAATGTTGCAAAGTCCAACGGCAATCATTTCTTGTGTCGCATCAACTCTGCCTCCAACGGCAAAAGCCTTCGCTATGGCTACAGATTCAAGGATTGCTACTAGTGGTAGAACTAAAGATTTTGGACCAAATACTTCTAACATATCCGTAAAACTGTAAGTGGTATTACCAGAAGTGGAACTAAATGGTGGAGGGCCAACTGTAGGCAAACCGCTGCCAATGTCTCTGATGAGTTTCAGTGGTTCACTATTTGTAGTAATTTTCAAAATATAAGCTACAAACATTCCAAAGATGACGACAACAGCATTCCGACCCATTGATATAAACCATCTCAGTTGTTTAGAGCAGCCATCAGTGCGGCTGCAGCCTTTTCCTAGACGCTTCAATAAGCAGAGCATGATTACGGTCAATATCGCTAGTATCGGATCCCAGAGTTTTGCAGTTTTTATGTTATTAACGAAGTTGGTTATTGATTCAGCAAAGAAAAGTCCTGAGCTGCCTTGCAATCCGAAAAACGCTTTCAATTGTGCAGCAGCAATCTGGAGCGCAGCAGCCGTAGTAAATCCATTAATAACAGGTGTCGATATGAAATTAACCAGAAATCCAAGATGGAATATACCCATCAACAATATCACAATGCCTGATAAAAATGCGGATAGAACAGCGAAATCCTTGGAGTATCCGGTGTATTTTGCTACTAATGATGACAAGACAGCTGTAGGGCCCACTGTGATATCCTTAGAGCTTCCAAATATTAAGTAGACGAAGCCATCCGCCAACGACCCGTAAAGTCCATATTCGGGGGGAAGTCCAGCGATGACCGCATAAGCAATTCCTTGTGGTATAGCTGTTAAGGCCACTGTTACGCCGGCTATAATATCTTGCAAGAAGAAAACTAAATTATACTTCGGTAGCCATTCCAATATCGGCACGCGTTTCTTGAGTGTTTTTTCATTGCAAAGTTTTTTTATAGATACATTCTTTCTTTTACGTACTGAGGTGGCTCCTTCGTGGTTTTTTAATTGATCTATAGTTATTATGGTCATGATAAACACGTCCTATTTGACACTTGTTTTTAAAATGAAAGTGTCACCGCGAATGCTTGTGCATTATGAAGTAGTCTACAGAATGTTTGATAGATTTATCTGTTGCGTTTATCTAGCTCTTGAAAAGATAAGTTTCTATCTGACTTTGTACGTCAGTATTGATTTTCCTTTCGTTATCATTAAATGTAAGAAAATTGTCTTTTGAGATTTACATGATGAACTAGGAATAAAAACAGAGATTTACGTCTGTGCTAATGCATGACGCAAATGTATGCTACAAAAAGTATGTTATTCATATAATATCGATACAACTGTTGGTACGTTTTAGTGGCTAATAAATTTATGTATGTGTATAAGTAAACGCAAGATTTTTTAACAATGAAGAGCTCATCCTTTCTTATGTCACCGATTCACCGATTTGTTAACCAAAATCATTCTCAAAGAAAGAATAAGAGATTGCCCAAAAACCACAAACACTGGCGGTTACCCTGTAACGTACCTTAATATGGTTTCGACTCATGGTTTCGATTATCATAGGTTCCATTTCGCACATTTTATCATATAACATCATCGATATTCATCAGGCATCATCATATATTTTATCATTTATTCCTGGAAACACATAATTTCAAAAATATCACACACTATTCATCACTTTGTAAATACGTATAATAATTTCTTCTGTACTGAAAATCACTATTCCAGAGTGCTGGACACTTACCGGCATTTCTCTTTATTCTGTTATTTACTTGTTTTCACTTATTATGCTTTGATTTTATCTATATTTAATTTATTTATTTTATTGACATTTTATGACAACCTAATGTTTTTTATCCGATGCCATGGCTACCCATGACACGGATACTCTCTCCAACTACGTCTATGACTATTCAACCTCCACAGACCACTTACTTTGATTCTTTTTGGCTCGATTCGAACCGTGTCTAAATTCAAATGGTTCCGGACCTATAAAAGGCCGAGCCTCCCTGATCATTTATTCAATTCTACGGCAAAAGTTGCCTACTCAACTTTTGAAAGCTCGCTACCGAGCTCTAAATTAATAAAAGGCCTTGTCCCGGGGCCGACTGCCCCGGGACTCAAGAAAGACCTCAAAGCTTTTTAGCACCTATTGGCTCTTTAAACAACTTCCTAACTCCAATACTATACTACTATACACGTTCTCGCAACCTCATCGGTGGGACTGCGCCTGGTCTCCAGCTTCTTCGGCCAGCCTCCAGCTGCTTCAGCCCGCCTTCTACCGACTCCTGCCGTTTCTTCAACGCCCGCCTCTGGCCGATATACGCCGGCCAAACTACCAGCAGCGCCGCCAGCAACCACCAGGGGAGGCCAAGATCTAAAACGGCTGCACAGGAGCGCTTCTGCCTCCAAGGAGCGCCGTCCATCTACCTGTAGCACGCCCTACCGTTCAAGCCGCCCCTGAAGATCGCCGACGACCCACGCCCACTTCACAACTCACACTACACACATATTCCATATTTTTTTTTAATAATCTGTAAATAGTACTTTATCTTGTAAATATATATTCCTATACTGTTCTTTTGATTTTTTTTTTCTTCCTTCCTATCTAGTTTTATTTTGTTGCTACACAACAAAATAAATGAAGATAAAAGTAAGGAAGAGGAAAAACTAAAGGCAAGACCTGAAGACTAAACTAAAGAGTTGGGCGCCAATTTTGTTGTGTAGCAACAAAATAAAACTAGATAGGAAGGAAGAAAAAAAAAATCAAAAGAACAGTATAGGAATATATATTTACAAGATAAAGTACTATTTACAGATTATTAAAAAAAAATATGGAATATGTGTGTAGTGTGAGTTGTGAAGTGGGCGTGGGTCGTCGGCGATCTTCAGGGGCGGCTTGAACGGTAGGGCGTGCTACAGGTAGATGGACGGCGCTCCTTGGAGGCAGAAGCGCTCCTGTGCAGCCGTTTTAGATCTTGGCCTCCCCTGGTGGTTGCTGGCGGCGCTGCTGGTAGTTTGGCCGGCGTATATCGGCCAGAGGCGGGCGTTGAAGAAACGGCAGGAGTCGGTAGAAGGCGGGCTGAAGCAGCTGGAGGCTGGCCGAAGAAGCTGGAGACCAGGCGCAGTCCCACCGATGAGGTTGCGAGAACGTGTATAGTAGTATAGTATTGGAGTTAGGAAGTTGTTTAAAGAGCCAATAGGTGCTAAAAAGCTTTGAGGTCTTTCTTGAGTCCCGGGGCAGTCGGCCCCGGGACAAGGCCTTTTATTAATTTAGAGCTCGGTAGCGAGCTTTCAAAAGTTGAGTAGGCAACTTTTGCCGTAGAATTGAATAAATGATCAGGGAGGCTCGGCCTTTTATAGGTCCGGAACCATTTGAATTTAGACACGGTTCGAATCGAGCCAAAAAGAATCAAAGTAAGTGGTCTGTGGAGGTTGAATAGTCATAGACGTAGTTGGAGAGAGTATCCGTGTCATGGGTAGCCATGGCATCGGATAAAAAACATTAGGTTGTCATAAAATGTCAATAAAATAAATAAATTAAATATAGATAAAATCAAAGCATAATAAGTGAAAACAAGTAAATAACAGAATAAAGAGAAATGCCGGTAAGTGTCCAGCACTCTGGAATAGTGATTTTCAGTACAGAAGAAATTATTATACGTATTTACAAAGTGATGAATAGTGTGTGATATTTTTGAAATTATGTGTTTCCAGGAATAAATGATAAAATATATGATGATGCCTGATGAATATCGATGATGTTATATGATAAAATGTGCGAAATGGAACCTATGATAATCGAAACCATGAGTCGAAACCATATTAAGGTACGTTACAACCCCAAGGTTTTTCTTCGTGTATGTTGCAATAAGTCGCGATGTTATCGACACTGCCAGCATGGGCCGATACGGGTCTGGGTTCGAACCCCGGCCACGGCGATAAGAGTGATGGAGGAGATCGTGACCACGCATACTATGCCGACATTACGGAGGACATAGATTTTGCAGGCCGTTGTAATGTTAGACTTGGTGGTTTAAAGATAGGGACGGTTTTTGATTTGACGAATGTGTAAAAAGATTAAAATATTAGGTGTGTGCACTCGATAAATCGGGGAAGATCGGCAAAGCTAAATAAAAGTAATGATTTATAAAATCCTTTAAGGCATAACTTATGTGCGCGCCTTGTATTTTTGGGCACAATAAAGTTCGAAATGTGTTTGTAGAAACATGGTAGAAGCAATTTATTTATTGTTTTAAACTTACGTGGTATTTAATATTATAGTAATTAGCGCGTTTTATGGGAGTCCCCTATATTTTGACACAGTTGCAAGTGTCATGTTTACGAAGTAGATAGGTACCTTTAATTGGAATTACATATAAGTTGCAATAAACAAAAAATATGCAACAAACTTTAATAGCTTACAGAAGACTTTTAAATTATTATTTATTTTTAAAGAAACTTTTAAACATGCACTCAAATTATTACCCTGCCCATGCCCAACATCCCAATCAAAAAAGTTGTTAACTTATCCCAATATATTTCCCATCAATCATTTCCACGTGACGAACTCCCGTTATTTAAACTACTATTTTAATAGCAGTTTTTAAATGGAAGCAAGACTCTTAATAGTCAATAAAGTGATAATTACTAGGGGAAGACGATGATCAATCATCATTACCATGGTGAATCAACTATGGCTTTAGTACGAGGGGGTCACAAAGTCGCCATAATAAACATCCAGTGTGAAAGGCAACACTTATCAAAACAATTACATCGTAAATTACTAATATTATGTAATCAAAAAGCATTTTTTCTATGAATATTCGTTAAACAAATTTAATTCAATCGATCAAATATCTGATGCAGATACCATTATAGTCGGCCATAATTTAATGAATTTATAGTTTAGCTTGATTTGTCATTCAATTTGTTCTATATTTACATGAATCAAAACTATAAAGGTACCTATTTCATTATCCTTTGGTATCACAAGATAAGTAGGTACAAATATTTATAAACCATGAAGGCTCAAAGATATATTAAGCATGCATCATTACATGTTCATCCTTGTCTATAGTATGAAATCAAATCAACCCTTTTGTGTTCAAGGGGGTACTTAAAGCCCGTTCCTAAGAAACTATCTGGTTTGATATATAGGGGGATTTGTACCCACTTAGAATTAAGTCTTCCGCGGAATCTATTCGTTGAACGCTGAAAGTTTAGGGAACAATGGAGTGACAAATACCGAAATATTAAGCTGGATAGAGCATTTCCTATTCATAACGCTCCAGTGCCCCTTACTTAAGTACGATCCCTTTGAATATAATATTGTTTCTCAATGACATATAATTTACATATGTAATTTGGCGGTTACTCACTCAAATATACTGATATTTACCTGAAAAAGAAAAAAATATAAATATAAAACAAGTTTAATTCAATAACATTAAATTATAAAGGCGTGGAGATATGTAGATAAATAAGGTAAGTCAACATAAGTCTTAATAATAACAGATAATAATACGGGGTGAACTGAATCGAATTCATGTCTGTAATTTAATAAGTAACAATATTTCTTTTATGAGTAAACCAAATAATAACTTGATAAAAGACTAATTTGGCTTAGCTGCACTTCTCAGTTTTTTATTAATACATATTTAATCATAATAGTCTGACTAAAAACGTTCTCTTAGCTGTTCCCGACAACCGCATTATTATATGGGCTATTATTAAGTACAGTAAGGACCATAGCTCATATACGATTCATTAAGCCGTCCGTGGCAGGCAAGCTAATTCCTTGGCCAATAATACCCCGGCAACTAATACCGTGTTTGTATCCAAAATCGAGTGCGTTCGGTCGGAAAGACCCCCCTCGCGGTTAGTAAAGGGTTAGAAATGTATGTATATCGTTTACTGGGGCTGATCAATATTAATCTTATATAGTAACTTATCTATTTTGGAAGAGCTGAAAATGTATAGTTGATTTAAATTTAATAAATACTATTATTAAACCCATAAATTTATTTAACATTATGTCAAACTAATACCTATATTATGTACCTGTAGTGTGATTTAGTTATAACA